ATGAGAGGTTCTGGCAGATGCTCGAGGCTCAGAGGAAAGGCAAGACGGATGTTTAATCAGAATGCTACTGGCACCATCAGTATCAGAACTCTTCGCTGGCTGCTGAAGATGGGGATGGAGTGCTTATGGGAATGCCCCGAGTGCTGTGATGTCGGTTCTTGAATCAAATCAATCAATCAATCATTCCCATATCTTTTCATTCCCATACAGTCTTTCAACCGCTCTCTTTTTATTCCTACAAATATTTATGCCAGCTTGTATTTTATTCTCACATCTTTACATTTCCAAACGGTCTTTCAATAACTCTTTGAAATAAATAATTATATCATACAGCTTTATGCAGAATTTTTAGGTCAACAGTTAAAGTTCGGGAACGCAGTAACAAAAAAAAATAGGATTGTCGGAAAACAAAAACAAGATGCCGATAAGATCGTCACTGGAACTATGTAGTTCTTGCCTTATGGGAAACTTGTGTAAAAACACGTACAATGTTGTGTCAATATTTCAAAGCAATCAGAGAGGAACTGCCGGCATACACCTTCATGAAGATTTCTGAGGTCAACAGTGAAAGTTGGCCTACCAATAAAAACCCGCAAATTGAAAGAAAAAACAAAAAAAACAAAAAAAGATTGTCAGAAAAACAAACCAAGATGCTGTTGTGATCAACGCTGATGCTATGTCATTTGCGGTTTGTGCAACATTCTTATATAAAAACACACGAGTATTCTCATGCAACGTTTTGTCAAAATTTGAATGCAGTCAGCGAAGAACTTTAGGAGATTAGCTACCACTAACAAACATTTACTTCTTATTTATTTAAATTTCCTTATCAGTGTCATATGCATTGCACATAAACATATGCTGTCCGGTTTCTCCTTTTCACACGATCGCCAGAATCATAGATCAGATCAATGTTTTTATGTCTCGCCCCATTCATGTGGCCAAACTATCCAGGTGTTTGTCTCTCTGTCTTCCTATTTACTCTCTTTTCACCAGTTTTGTCAGTTGTTGCCAAGTTCTCCTGTCCATTTCTTTTCCTAACATGTCCAAAAAAACATACTCTAGTAACTAAACTCATATAAAGACGATTTTACAGATTTCTTTTGGGGGGGGGGGGGGGGTGTTTTTAATTCCTTTTTTCTATTTTTATATTCTTTTTTTGTTAAATGTTGACATTGTTGTTTGTCAAGAAGTAATTCCAAAGTGTTTATTAATTTTATCAGATCCTTTTTTATTTATTAAAATGACTTTGGTCTACAGGTCGACCCGGTCTTCAATGGGTACCAGGTAAAGTTCTGTGGAGGCAGAGGTGGCCGGTGTGGTGCTGACCATTTCACCCACCGAGTGCTGATTGATCTATCAAATGTAGGTCTAGCCCTATCTGATCAATACACCTGAAGGCATGGAAAAGGGTCCTTTACTTTACTCAGAGAATCAGACTGGCAAAGCTACACTGGGTGATAGTAGATGGTGGCGTGAGCAATGCCCCAAGAACTGATCCAAAACATTGAGAACAAAGATCTGTAGAGAAACATGCACACATTTGACAAAGCACATGATAATGAGTATATAGCTTATCACAAACTTAACTCTTTCAGTCCCAGCTTTTTTTTTTTTTTCAGCATCCTATTTCCTAAACAAGAACTCGAATTTCACAACTACCAAAGTATTAAAAAAAAAAGTGTTTGTGGTTAACATGGTATGAGAGCCGCTTTGTGGGAGAGACACCTTATCACATTCCCAGAGACAGCAGTGGGCTCACTGTAACTAAGCTTTATTGTGGAAACATCAATGAATATCAGTAATTGACAGAAAGAGATTATGAGATGTGTGCACGAGAATCTGCATTTTTATTTTTCTGCTTCAGGTGGAGGACAACACCCTTAAACTAGTCATTTTCTTCCGATTTCCTCATTTTTTCGCCCTTCCTGCTGTTAATTATCATCTATGTCAGTGGTTCTCAACCTTCCTAATGCCGCTACCCTTTAATACAGTTCCTCGTGTTGTGGCGACCCCCCAACCATACAATTATTTTCGTTGCTACTTTATAACTTCATTGAAGAAGTGTTTTCTGATGGTCTTTGACGACCCCTGTGAAAGAGTTGTTAGACCTAAAAAAGGGGTAATGACCTACAGGCTGAGAACAGCTAATCTTTGTGGATGGATACATATATATGAGAGTACATATTTCCGTTTTTCTCCCTGCATTTTCCTTGCCCAGAGTGTTCCTAGAACAAGGACTGTTTCACTATGTTACTAAATTTTTGTTGTTGTTATGTATGGTCTTTAAAGTGCTGGTGCCATCTATCCTCTCTGAATTCATCAGAATATTTCTGTTCTCTCCATAAGCTCCATATTGTTAAATCTGTAAACTACTGAAGTCCTATTCCAAAAAGACACTTGTTAGTGAAAGCTACTCAAGTATTTCACTGGCAGAGCATTTTTGTCTTGAATACAAGAGCATTTTGTGTGGTTTTTCCTGGCAAAAACACAATCCAGACCTGCACAGTCTGTGGCTACAGCACAAGCCATGCAGCCCTAAGCCTTCAGACCCCCCTTCCCCCCCCCCCCCCCCCCCCCCCCCCCCCCCCCCCCCCCCCCCCCCCCCCCCCCCCCCCCCCCCCCCCCCCCCCCCCCCCCCCCCCCCCCCCCCCCCTTTACACACCACATAAGTGGTAAATCGAGGCGGGGATGATAGTTTTTGCTTACTGGCAAACAAATGGAACAATTATTTGGTGACCCATTTGCAGTGAAGTTGGAACCATGACTGTTTAACCTAACTACTGTACGTTAAAAGTAAATTATTAGTAACAATTGAATGAATTGACATAAGAAGTGTCTGTGAAAGAAAAAAGCCTATGTTCTTGCTGGATTTGACCTAATGAATGATAATATGGACAGTGAATAGGGCACAAGAACAGAAAATAATTACATGTGAAATGCGCCGTCTCCGCAAATTCACTAACAACACAAGAAGAGACAGGTTTACAAATACCAGCATTAGAGAGGAAGTTGGAATAAGACCATGTCTGGACTACACTGACAAGGAATGAAATGGTTCAGCTATCTAGTGAGACTGCAGCCAGACCAAACTGCATAAGAGACTTTACAGTAGAACATATGGGAGGACGGCGAGAGGAAGACCAAGAAAGATATGGATAAATGGTGTAGCAAAACCCGCAAAAAGATGAACAAATCGATAACCCAAGCCACCCAAGAAGCACAAGACAAATACAGAAAACAACACTGGGCTACAACCTGGTATCAGTGAGGCGACAAAAAAAGAAGTTTAGGTTCCTTGGTAAAGCAAAAACTAAGCTGTAAATGATCCTTCTTAGGTAAGAAAACTAGTGTACGAAGACAAGAGCACAGAAAGCCTTGCATTTATTTTTGGTAAGCAGGATATTGCATTTTCTGTATCCAAATTAAGAGTACCATTCATGTTATTTAAATTTATTATTTAATACAATATCAGCCAGAGAAAAAACAAAACATAAGGTTAAAGAAAGCTTTATGAATTTTATTCAGTTATGCATTCAGTTAAATAATTATGACAAAGCCCTGTAAAAAGAATGCACGATGATATTAAAGAAGAGTTGGAAAGAAAATACCCTGAAACGATGATTGCTGGCACTACTCAGTTCCTGGAGTGTAATGAGATTCCCCTTATGTGCTCTATGGGAGAGGGCTGGAGCACAAAGGAAGACATCTTAAAGGACCCTTCTCCATGCCTTTAGGTGTATTGGGCATATAATACAAGTAAAGGACCCTTTTCCAGGTCTGTAGGTGTACTGGGCATATGGGGCTAGAGCTATATTTTACAGACAAAATCAGCACAGTGGGTGATGTGGTCAACAATATGCTGGGCGCCATTACTTCCCAGGAGTTGACCTGGTACCCATTAAAGACTTGGCTGACCTGGTACCCATTAAAGACTTGGCTGACCTGGTACCCATTAAAGACTTGGCTGACCTGGTACCCATTTAAGACTTGGCTGACCTGGTACCCATTAAAGACTTGGCTGACCTGGTACCCATTAAAGACTTGGCTGACCTGGTACCCATTAAAGACTTGGCTGACCTGGTACCCATTAAAGACTTGGCTGACCTGGTACCCATTTAAGACTTGGCTGACCTGGTACCCATTAAAGACTTGGCTGACCTGGTACCCATTTAAGACTTGGCTGACCTGGTACCCATTTAAGACTTGGTTAACCTTGCAGTCAAAGTTTTTTTTTTTTTTTTAAAGTCTAGTTCTGCTCAGATTTGAACCCATGAGCTTTGGATCTGCAGGTCAGTATCTAGCTGCTTTACCATAAAAGCCCCCAAGAGAGCTATTAGTGTGTAATAAATATGATCGTTTATTAAAAAACCAAATCCACAATGCATGGGAGCTGAATTATAGGTGGCAGTACAACAGGACCCTGGCTTATAGTGGTCAACATCTATCTACACCTCTCTGTGGTCATCCTTGAAACAGTTTTCCAACTGGGGGCCTGGCCAATGTGGATAGGACAGACCTTTCCTTCTAAGTCAGAGTGCGTCTGCATGAGAGGTGAGGAACCAGCAGTCTGTACATAACTCAGATAGATCTGTAAAATGGATGCGCAAACAAGGATCAAGTCCTGGAAGAAGACCAAACTCCAGAAGCGGACAACAATCAGGACTTTCCACCAGAGTTTACAGCCTGCGAATGTGAAGAAACAGATGAAAAACCAAAAACTAAAACATATTATTCATGAGCAGAAGCAGCTGCTAATTTATGTAATGATGTCTGAATGTATGAGGGATAAATTACAAGTATTTTCAGTCTGAAAACAAACCCAAATGGACAATAGCTGAGAGAGAAAAAAAAAAAAACAGGCAGCATGAACAGACTGAGTAGTGATGAAAAAGGAGAGGAAGCAGTGTTATATATAACATTTTACAGAGACAAGACTGTCAAAGAAAGTCTAGCGAAAGAAACTTTCACAATCATCTCTCTTCTGTCCAAGTGCTGCTTCAGGTACTGCAAAAAGAAAAATGTAATAAATATAAAAATAGGATAGATAATAAGGAATAACTAAACCCTAATAGTTTTTCTTCATGATATTTATGAGTGAATTACTATTCTGTTCATATTGCAGATTACACTGAAACTTATAGGTTTCTTTTTCATGAACATAAGTAACATTTGACAGTATTCTTATAAAGTTGATTAACCCTTTCACTGCTTTGGACGTATTTTCCCGTACGCTGCTACGCCCGTCTTTGGACGTTATTTTTTTTCTTGACCCCCAGTGTTATGGACGTCCGAACCCGTTTTTGGACTTTCCTTACAGATTTCTGTGACCTCTTCTGTCAGGGGCCAAAGGGCAATATACATTAGCTATATTTAGATTGAACTGACCCATTTACATATGATTAAAAGAACTGGCACATGCATTTAGGTGTGTTTAATGTGTGTTTACAGCATTCCGCATTATCCCGTTGCTTTGTTTAATGTGACAGTGTTGTCGGTGATCTGTGCATCTTGTGCCCTGATATATATTTGTGGGTTTCGATTATTCTACACTTCGTTAGTACTAAATGGCAAGAAAACTTGTTAAAGTTGATGACAAATTGATGGAGTTTCTGTCAAGAAGTGATATCAATAATGACTTTGAAATGTGTACTTCTGACAGTGAACAAGAAGATTTGACTAGGCCATCAATATCCACGGCTCAAACCGGCGTGTCCAAGAAAAAGCTGTTTGCCTGTCCGAAGTCCTCATCATCAGAATCAGAGAGCAGCGACAATGAAGCGCCATCAAAACAGCAAAAAATTGATCAGTTGTCTTGCTCAACCATTGATTTGATACCAGTAGTGCATAATTTTGATGACTCCAGCTCTGGAACGATTTTTTTTAGTTTTTTTGTGTGTTCTCTGTCTGCTAATGCTTAGAACAAAAAAAACTCAAATTGAGTACCGGGGCAAAGACTGCTGAAAACTCCCGTGGGTAGTGAAAAAAATGTTGAGGGACAGATTGTTACTATTGTTGAGAATGTTACATTTCTCAGACAACAGTGCTAATGCAGGCGGGATAGGCTGTAAAAAAATTAAACACATTGATGGTCTGCGCACATCGTTTCAGGGTTCATTTTCACTTTATCAGGATGTGGTTGTTGATAAAACACTACTTCTCTACAAAGGAATATTATCTTTCAAACAGTACGTTGCGTTAAGAAATAGTCTAGTGAAGTTGGTATCACGTCCACCTTAGGATTGGAAGGTCGGATGTGCAAAACCCCCAATGTGGATTTTTTTATTTTTTTATTATTATTATTGTAAATTGTCCTATCAGTTCTTGCTACTTTTTGACAACGGATGACTCAAGTATTATTATTATTTTTTTAAATGTAATAACATGGTGACTACAATTAACTATGATTAAAGTGGGAGCCGTGGTAGGTTCGTCAATCAAATTTTGGGATAGGGACTGGTAACAGTTCTTCCCATTAATTCCCCACTCCCCAGGGAAGTGCAAAAGGTTTACTTTCTTCTGAAATCAGCACTGCTTCACTTTGTTCTTACCGATTTATTAACTATTTCATTTTAACACATGCTATATAAAGATTTTCAGAATATCTTGGACAAAGAAGAGAAATATTGACATCTTAAAAGATCTGAACATCAAGGAAGATTGGCTAATAAACATCTGTTCTCTAAAGCTGAAATATTTTGGTCATATCATGCGCCATGACGGATTGGAAAAAATTATAGCAGAAGGCATTGTACCAAGGAGGGGCAGGGGCCGACCGACAAGAATATAGGCTTAGGATATAATTGACTCCTTCAGTATGAAAGTGTATGAGGCGGGCGAACTAGCGAGAGACCCAGTTTCTTTCAGGCAGACTGTGATGAGAGCTACGTTCTGCAAAGGATGCTACATGATAATGATTTTTAACACATTTAATTTTATTACTGACCTTTGATGATTTGCTTTGATTTTACGTGAAACAGAATTAATGGATATCACCTTACCTTCCAAATTGTCCTCCCATAATTGTAAAAAACTTGTTGAAGTCAAGTCGCAGCAATAACTGGGCTAAGTGTGGTCTACCACTCTGGCTACGAACACCAGACAAAATCCTGAATAACAGGCTGGAGTGACGCTGAAAGTTCTATAATTGGAAGGAATAAAACAATTAACTTCTCCTTAGATTTCTTATACCAGCGGTTCCCAATCCAATAAGACCCCTTTTATTTTCAAATGCCAGCCACAAACCCCTACTACTTAACAGCCACATTTGTTTCATTTTTTTAAAAGAGTAAATCTATATTAGAATCACATATAAAATTTAAAAGTGTTTTCCCCTAAATGATATCATCATCATCATGTAGCAGGTCCCCTGCAGACGATCACTTTCATCACAGTCTGCCTGAAAGAAACTCAAACTCCCAGCAGCTCTCTCACCACATGCACTTTTCTATCCAAGGTGTCACTGATATCCTGTGCCCATCTTTATGGTGACTAGCACCCGCCCCTCTTTCTCTGTACCATGCCATCTGCTATTATTTCTTCCAATCTGCCATGGGCCATGGCCAGATTTAAACTTGGTGAGGACCTATGCTCTATAAAGTCCTGAGGCTCCTAACATTGTTTTCTTCTCAGTAATCACCGGCTGTAAACTCCAGCAAAAAGTTATGGTTGTTCATCCACTTCTGAACTTTGGTCTTGTTCCAGAACTTGAGTTTTGCACGCACTTCCGTTCTACAAATCTAACTTATCTGTATGCAGTTTTTTGTTTCTTCTCCTCTCAAGCAGACGCATGCTGACTTTAGAGGACCTAATATGTGAAATTACAACAGCTAATGACAGAAAACTTTAAATATACATATATATTTGCCTTTTAACTCTTTGAGTCCCAAGGAACGCATCATACGTTCATAGGTTCCTACCTAGAAGCCCACAGAACGCATGATGCGCCGATTTTATTACTTTCTTTACTACCCCCTGGGCCTGTGATGCTAAACCCCCTGGGACTCAGAGTTAAATATATGGATAATAGAAATATATTATCATTTAATTTTTGTTCACAAGAAATAATAAAGAATGTGTTTCAGAAGTTGTAATATATAATCCTCTAACAGGCTCTTGTGTCACAACTTTAAACATTTATTTTCTTAATTTCTTAATCACTGATTATGTTATCAATAGATAAGCTGTGCAACAAATAGGAGTTTCTTTAGGCCTCTAGAGATTGTGAGGCCCTATGCTAATCCTGCACTGGCCATCGTGCTTCAAATGGTCAAAATAGTTCAGTGTCAGAGACAAGATGCTGTTTACTGAAGTTCAGATCTTTTAGAATGTCAGTATTTTGTGTGTATGTGTGTGTGTGTGTGTGTGTATGTGTGTGCATGGTATTCTTAGAATTCTTCTATTGTATTTTAGCTCAATTGAGTGGGTACCGGGTGCTGTCCCGAGAAGTAAAAGTGGCCGGCATGATGCTGATCACATCATCTATCTTGTGCCGATTGGTCTATAAAAATATAGGTCTAGCCCTATATGCCCTATACGCCTAAAGGCGTGGAAACGGGTCTTTCCTTTTTTTTTTAAAAACTTATTTCAGCTCAAAAACCCATATTTTCTTTCTTAATGACCGCAAGATAGTCCACGATTTATATCAGCATGTTGCTACAGGGAAATTGCATGCTTTCAAAATTTTGACTGTTTCCTTTTTTGGTGCTTAACCATAGATTTTTAACTAATGATATTACAGAGCACTTAATTTGTTCTGCCAACCCTTGGGGAGTCTGCTTATCACCAGCTAGCAACCACTGTCCAATACAATGAGATAACTACATTAAATGGCAGTTGTAATAACCCAGTGGTTACAGTTAAATAGGTGAAGCGGTGCAGTAGTTAGCATACTGGCCTGCTAGTTCAGTATTCAAGTGTCTGAATCCCCTTCAAAATAGAGATTTATTTACAACAACAACAAAACTGTTAAACTTTAGTTGTTGGCAGCTAAATTAAATGGCCAAAATATTTCACTTGTAGTTTTTTAAAATGAACTACAAGGCTGCTACCACCCCAGTTTTAAGGGCTCTATCACTTACTTATCTGCTTCTGCTCAATGTGTGCAGGCGATCTGTCTTGTCAGGAATTTCATCTCAGGAGTAATTGATCTTTTAATGTTTTCTGTTAGTGGTAGCATAGTTTGTAAGAATATTGTGTTACAGGGTGATTATGAATTACTTAACAAAAACTCAATGAAAATTACCAGTGTAATGTTCTCCAACTGTTGAGTGTCTCTGGCACTCAGTGGGGTGTCAGCAGCAACAAGCAATCGGCAAAACACACTGCACAGCTCCAGGATTTCATGCAAACATGTGAATACCTTGGGATAAAAGATATTTGTCTGATTACTGAGCAGAAACAAACACTAATTAACAAATGCCTGTTAAGAATAGAGGGAGGGAGAGAGGAGACAAAGAAAAAGGTTGGGGAGGGGGAGCAGACCTTTGAAAATAAGAGCAGTGTACAGGTCTTAACTAATTTGCAACCACTGTTCTAGAGGAATCATGTTCAATGCCATGTGATCCAGATGAAGTTATTTAGAATGTAAAATAACTCTCACTGCAGGATCTGTCACAAGAGCATAAAATGCTATTAAGAACTTCATTTTCAGGTCACCCAAGAACTAACCGTCTTGTCTCTCTTTTCACATTTTTATTTCCCTTGCTAATATAATGTAATGTATTACATATATGTCTAATGTCAAGGACATTTCTCATACAGCTTATTAAGAAGCACTGAATGGTCTCTGGTACATTAATTTCATAATGTAACTATACAGCATATAGCACTAGGAGCTTTTTCATAATGTAACAAACAACAGTGCAATATATATAGCACAAAGGGCTCCTGACCCTTTTCCCCACCTTCAGGCATATAGGACTAGACCTATATTTGATAGATCTGTCAGCAATTGGTGAGTGATGTGGTCAACATCATGCCGGTCACCTTTATTTCCCAGGAATTTACCTGGTACCTGTTTAAGGTTGGGCTGACCTGGGAGCCAAAGTCATTTCTGAAAAAGGACCGGCACCATCAGGACCTGAACACACAACCTACGGATCCACAGGCGAGCGTCTAGCCGCTACACCAGGCCCTTATAATTAATTTCATAAGGAAACTACACCACATATTTTAACTAGCAGCTCAGTGACAATAAATTGTATAATTAACTTACAGCTACACGGGATCAGCCACAATAAATTTCATAATGAAACTAAACAGAACTGGGTATAAAGCTACGAAAAATATAATGATGAAACCATACAGTATAAACATCAATCTAAAACCACTGGGCACTCACAGTTTTCATGTGAATAAAGCTCTGGGCAAGAAGTGAAGCCAGAAAATGTTCGTGGGCAATTTTGGCTGCCTCAAAATCTTTTGTGGCATTCACCTTGTCAAGCAGAATTTTATACTGTGACTCTATAACATCCACCTGGGGAAATAATGTTAAAACATTAAAAAGTGAACAATGAACTGCTTTCTTCTTTATAGGAGTGGTTGAGGAAGATGGTCAGGGTGCTGGGTTCTCATGAGAGACCAGGGTTCAACCCTCTGTAAAAGGATGGATATTTTGTTCTGTCAAGGGCAAAAATCACAATCCTAATCCTGCCTACATTGTAATCATGTGGTCTTAAATCTTCAGCGCCAGTGTCCAGGCACTGAGCTACCACAAGTCCCCTTATCAGTGTGGCAGATCATGATTATTATGTGGGTGCCCTTCGCTTTCCCCCAGAAATAAAAATTAATGATGCAAAATGTTTTCTGAACTAAATTATACTGAGTACTCTACACTAACCTGAAGATAATACTGTAAATTATCTACAAGAAAAGCCATGTGGGTCCGCAGTTGCCAGGTTGCACTTGCTGCTGGTGAAACAAACGCTGCTTTGTTGAACATTTGTAGACTCCAGCAATGTTGGAGATCAAGTTGTGTGCGACGAACAGCCAGCAGGAAGCGGAAAATCCTATTGTATCTAAAAAAAAAAAAAAAAAAAAAAACTTTAAGCAAGTTGAAAGTACCCTGCTATTTTGATTTTAAATATTTTGTTTTTAAACTGTCAATGTAATTACATCTAAGCAAGAAAAATGCTGTTCATTAAAATAGTTCTCAGCTAGTCATATTAGATAAGATATCTAACGTAAAATATCAAAACAAATGTAAGTAAAGCAAGTACTGTACTAGACTAACATACTAAATTAAAGCCTTGTGGTGCCCTGTACATGCTTAACTGTTACTAAGATTGTTCTATATTTACATGTACTTTACTGTTACTGAGATTGTTCTATATTTACATGTACTTTACTGTTACTGAGATTGTTCTATATGTACTTTACTGCTACTGAGATTGTTCTATACCTACATGTACTTTACTGTTACTGAGATTGTTCTATACGTACATGTACTTTACAGTTACTGAAATTGTTCTATACGCCCATGTACTTTACTGTTCATGAAATTGTTCTATACGCACATGTACTTTACTGTTACTGAGATTGTTCTATATGTACATGTACTTTACTGTTACTGAGATTGTTCTATATTTACATGTACTTTACTGTTACTGAGACTGTTCTATATGTAAATGTACCTTATTGTTACTGAGACTGTTCTATATGTACATGTACTTTACTGTTACTGTGATTGTTCTATCTGTACATGTACTTTACTTTTACTGAAATTGTTCTAAACGTACATGTACTTTACTGGAGTAGTCCTGTTATTCTTTACTGAAGCGGTCCTGTACCTACTTTATATAAATGGCCATGTATTACTTTACTTTACAGAGATGATCCTGTACTTACTGTGCTGAGATGGTCTTATACTTAACTTACTGAAGTGACCCGGTACTTTCTTTACTTTATTAGAGTGGTGTTGTACCTACTTTACTTTACTGAAATAGTTTTATACTGTTATGTGCTTTACTGACGTGGTCTTTTACTTAAATGAGAGAGTAATATACTTAGTTTACTGAGATGGTTCTGTACTTTAGTGAAGTAGTCCTTTACTTAAATGAGATAGTAAAATACTTACTTTACTGAAGTGGTCTTGTATTTTCATTACTTTACTGAGATGGTTATATTCTTGTAAGTACTTTACTGATGTGGTCCTTTACCTTACTGTGACAGTATAAGTTTCTGAGGTGGTTCCGCGCTTAATTTACTGAAGTGGTCTTGTACTTTCATTACTTTACTGAGATGGTTTTGTACTTACTTTACTGAAGTAGTCTTGTACTTTCATTACTTTACTGAGATAGTCATATACTTGTATATACTTTAATTAAGTAGTCATTTTCTTCACTGATATAGTACTATACTTACATTACTCAGATGGCCCTGTATTACTTTACCTTACTGAAGTAGTCCTTTCCTTATTTACTGAGGCTCTTTAAAGTAACCCCTACAAATCACTTATATTCATAATAAATGTGGCAACAGAATAACTGAAACTTACTTTTCCAAAATAGAAGGAGTAAAGAAAATGTGTAGAGGCCATCGAACAGAATACGTAAGGCCAAGACCACTCCAACCAGTCTCTGCTTCCACTTGAGGTGAATTACTTTCAGGTTTTTCTAAGACATAAAAAGTACTCTTCACCGAAAGCTAAATAATTTGGTAATATTTAGCACAGCAGCTTTTAAAGGCCTGATAAAACGCAGAACCCTAAATTATAGAGTTTAAAAGCAAGTTATTTTTTTTTTTTTATTTCAGTTACAACATTTGCCAGGGAAAACTGGAGAGCTACTAAAGACATGGCATGAAAGTTAAATGCATTAAAACAATGAATGTCTAAGGAAATTAATGGACATTGAAAGGGATGGATTCAAGAAAGGCAAAAAAAAAACATAATAATAGAAATGTCTGGGACAACTGTTTGTATCAAGTTACTGGACAAAGAAGATAGCAATGTATTGGGCATATATGAGGAGAAGAAGAGAACCATCAAACAGACACTGAAATGGGAAACAAATGACAGATGAAATGAAAATGCTCAAGAGAAACCTGAAGATTAATGCCGCTGAGAGAGGCCAAAGGTGCTGAACTGCATTCTAGTCCAATCATCTTCCTGGTCACCCTGACAAAGATCCATAACATAAAAGACTGCAAAGGACAGAACAGAGTGCATCAGTGACTGGGTCGCCCATTGGCCGGCCGGTAGACGACCTCGTTACCGGTTGAAACAGTATTTGGGTCCGTCTCCTCTGATCGTATCAACATTGCAAGAGTTCTTTTCAGAGCTACTTGGTGGTTAGAAATGCTAAACCATTTTGTATGGCGCATATAGCCTAGTCATAATTATAACCATAAGCTCCCCCTTCGGTAATGTGGTTGAAAGTGAAGTGTTTTTTTTTGTTGTTGTTGCAAAGTGAACCAAGAAAGAACAGAGTGGAGGACTAGGCTATGGGCCCTATGTGATGTATAATGGCACAATGGGATGATCAACAGCACACAGAAATGACTATATATCACAAGAAGTATTCATGAATCTTAAATAGACAACATTCTACTAAAAATACCTGAACTCTTTGAGTCCCAAGGAACGCATCATACGTTCATAGGTTCCTACCTAGAAGCCCAATGAACGCATGATGCGCTGATTTTATGACTCTCTTTACTACCACCTGGGCCTGTGATGCTAAACCCCCTGGGACTCAAAGAGTTAATTAACACAGCTGCTGTTAGTGCTTGAATTAATAAATCACCCACCGAGTGCCGATTTATCTATTATCTGTCCTCTGCATAACCAAGTTTTCTTGTAGTTTCTTCTATAGTACACTCTTCTCTAAATTTCCTTATAATTTTCGTCACCTCACTTGAAAAGGGTCTGACTTTCTGCCTTTATATGTTACTGCATGTTTTGGTGTCTCTGGTTTAGGCGCTGCAAACAAGCTTCGTAATGGCGGGGTGCTAGGTTAAATCATAGATGCAGATTTTGTCTTGCGTTGGTTTCGACAGTGGTGCCGAGAACTAACCGGCAAACTACTGAACATAAAATTTGCCTTAAAAAACCACAACAGCCAAAAAAAAATGCTGGTGTTGGTTCTGCAAACGTCCTGCAAAGGATATGCAATTAACTTATATTATAAGTGTCTTCCATACATAGTTTGGTCATGGTGATTAGCTTCTTTGGTGTTCCAAAGTCCTTCATAGCATTCCATAAACTGTTTCTACGTGCACTATCATATGTCTTTTTAAAATCCACAAAAACATTACGTACGTCTCTTCTATTTTTTCCAATTTTGCTCTGCTATTTGCCGTAATATTAATATCTGATCTATTGTTGATCTGTTCTATCAGAAACCCACTTGGTAATTCCCCCCAAATATCTTCAACGAATGGCTTTAGCCTGTTTAGGCAGTATTGCCGATAGTATCTTATAGCTGGCAGATAATAGTGATAGTCCTCTATATTTTGCAAATTTATACTTGTTTTCTTTCTTAAAAATGAGTATTAATAAAGACTCTTTCCACTTATGGGGTAATTTCTCCATCTTTCAAACTAGATTTATTCATTCATTTATCTTTGAATGTAATGCCTGACCACCTTTTTTATAAGTTCAGCAGCAAGCTTATATCAGCACCAGTTGCTTTATTGTTTTTTAAGCTGCGTTATGACATACATTACTTCTTCGCGTTATGACATACATTACTTCTTCACGTTATGACACACATTACTTCTTCGCGTTATGACATACATTATTTCTTCGCGTTATGACATACATTATTTCTTCGCGTTATGACATACATTACTTCTTCGCGTTATGACATACATTACTTCTTCGCGTTATGACATACATTACTTCTTCGCATTATGACATACATTACTTCTTCGCATTATGACATACATTATTTCTTCGCATTATGACACACATTACTTCTTCGCGTTATGACATACATTATTTCTTCGCGTTATGACATACATTATTTCTTCGCGTTATGACATACATTACTTCTTCGCGTTATGACATACATTACTTCTTCGCGTTATGACATACATTACTTCTTCGCATTATGACACACATTACTTCTTCGCATTATGACATACATTACTTCTTCACGTTATGACATACATTACTTCTTCGCGTTATGACATACATTACTTCTTCGCGTTATGACATACATTACTTCTTCGCGTTATGACATACATTACTTCTTCGCGTTATGACACACATTACTTCTTCGCGTTATGACATACATTACTTCTTCGCGTTATGACATACATTACTTCTTCGCGTTATGACATACATTACTTCTTCGCGTTATGACATACATTACTTCTTCGCGTTATGACACACATTACTTCTTCGCGTTATGACACACATTACTTCTTCGCATTATGACATACATTACTTCTTCGCGTTATGACATACATTACTTCTTCGCGTTATGACATACATTACTGCTTCGCATTATGACATACATTATTTCTTCGCGTTATGACATACATTACTTCTTCGCGTTATGACATACATTACTTCTTCGCGTTATGACATACATTACTTCTTCGCATTATGACATACATTACTTCTTCGCGTTATGACATACATTACTTCTTCGCGTTATGACATACATTTCTTCTTCGCGTTATGACACACATTACTTCTTCGCGTTATGACATACATTACTTCTTCGCGTTATGACATACATTACTTCTTCGCGTTATGACATACATTACTTCTTCGCGTTATGACATACATTACTTCTTCGCGTTATGACATACATTACTTCTTCGCGTTATGACATACATTATTTCTTCGCGTTATGACATATATTACTTCTTCGCGTTATGACATACATTACTTCTTCGCGTTATGACATACATTACTTCTTCAAAAGCAGGCTCTTCAATATTTAGTTCACATGTTAGTATCTCTTCCTGTGGAAAAGTATGTAGTGGAATTTCACAGTTTAACAATTCAGCAAAGTATTCCTTCTATCTGTTACACATTTCCTTATTATTATATATCATGATCCCATTATGATCTTTTATATGCTGTGTTGATTCCCTCATTTTACAGCCTTCAGTTCTTTAAACAACTTTATGGATTCGTTGTTCTGATGGTTAGGTCCCATATCCTTTACAGGACGTTGCAGAACCAACCCCAACAGCCCCTAGCTGTTGTGTGGTTTTTCTAGGCAAATGTACGTCCTGTAGTTTGCCATTGCTTTCTGGACGGTCGGCTTTCTTGATACCACTGTCGAAACCAACGCCGCAGCTGGGATCGAACGTGGCATCCCGGCATTACGAAGCGTTCGCATCGACTTAACCACAGAGCCGACTAGGTCCCATATACATTACAATATTGTTCATGTGTTCTCGCTTCTGCTGCCTGACTACTTGTGTAGCTTCTTCACATTCTGTTCTATATTTTCCTTCATTTTGTATGTTGCTAGTTTCATTTATCCACATCTGTCTGGCATGTTTTTTATAACTGACTGCACTGCCAAAACTTAAAGAGGATAATTCATACTTTTCTCTTTTGCTAACTTTGGAATCGTGAGATGAAATCTTTGCAGCAGTGCATCATTGTCAATGAGAACATTTCTGGCAGCATGTTGGAATGCTCGATTTACATCTGAAAGATAATAGAGGAGAGTTAATTACTAAAATACAGAGAGGAGTTATACATCTAAAACATAATAGGGAAGAGTTAGAATTGTAAATGTAACAGAGGACAGTGAAACATCTAAAACATAACAGGCATAGTTGTATATGTGAAGCACAGAAGTGACTGACACATCTGAAGCAATAAGGAAGAGTCATAGACTTTGAAAAGAAGAAGAATAAATATGGGAGAAGGTCAGGCAGACAGAAATGGAGGGTGAATAGGACAGATTAGGAATAAAGATATATAAATTATTTCTTCAGACAATGCAAAAAATCATAGATATATATGTGTGTGTGTGTGTGTGTGTGTGTGTGTGTGTGTGTGTGTGTGTGTGTGTGTGTGTGTGTGTGTGTGTGTGTGTGTGTGTGTGTGTGTGTGTGTGTGTGTGTGTGTGTGTGTGTGTGTGTGTGTGTGTGTGTGTGTGTGTGTGTGTGTGTGTGTGTGTGTGTGTGTGTGTGTGTGTGTGTGTGTGTGTGTGTGTGTGTGTGTGTGTGTGTGTGTGTGTGTGTGTGTGTGTGTGTGTGTGTTGTGTGTGTGTGTGTGTGTGTGTGTGTGTGTGTGTGTGTGTGTGTGTGTGTGTGTGTGTGTGTGTGTGTGTGTGTGTGTGTGTGTGTGTGTGTGTGTGTGTGTGTGTGTGTGTGTGTGTGTGTGTGTGTGTGTGTGTGTGTGTGTGTGTGTGTGTGTGTGTGTGTGTGTGTGTGTGTGTGTGTGTGTGTGTGTGTGTGTGTGTGTGTGTGTGTGTGTGTGTGTGTGTGTGTGTGTGTGTGTGTGTGTGTGTGTGGTGTGTGTGTGTGTGTGTGTGTGTGTGTGTGTGTGTGTGTGTGTGTGTGTGTGTGTGTGTGTGTGTGT